TGACAAACCTTTGACTTGTTTACTTTGGACACATACTCAGGAAAGACCAACTGCTAGAAAAGGGTATCTGATTTGGTAGGTTAGTGGATACAAAGGAAACCCTCAGGGATTTAGATGGACACAATAGCTGTAATAATAGATTCAAATATACCAAGGATCATGAATATGGTGCAAGACTAAGGACTGGGCAATGTTTTGTTCCATTATGCGTAAGGTTGCCAAGAGTCAGAGCCAACTTGATCGCAATTAACTGTAACTCAAGGGTCAAGATTTAATAAAATTTAACTGCATCAAGGACATCCTTAAGTGACTTCTTCCTTCTGAATCCCTGGCAGTGAAGAAAACATTGACTAAAGCAGTTAGCAGCCATTGCCATGAATTGTGTAAAGCACCAGCAGTTTTACATACCAATTGCTTTTCTAACTGAATCTTCCATTGACATTAAACCATCAAACACTGAAATAAACACAGCTACTTTTCATATGGAAACATGCTGCTTATAATTTTGTAAGATAAAGGTAAATAGTCAAATGATCTTTAACAAAGGCACAAAGGTAATTCAATGAAGAAAGGATAATCTTTTTAACCATTAGGCACTAGAACAAGTGGATATCCACACACAGAAAAATGAATCTAGACAGAGCTTACACCTTTCACAAAAACTAATGTATCATAGACCTAAACATAAGATACAAATTTTTACAACTTCCAGATGGTAACAGAAAATCTAGTTGACCTTGGGTTTGGAGATCCAACACCAAAAGCACCAGTAATGAAGGGGACGGGGAAAGCAAGCCAAGTTGGACTTTATTAAAACTTCTGCTCTGAAAGATACTTCAAGGTAACAAAAAGAAACCACAAAGTGGGGGAAAAATATTTGCAAAACACATCTGATAAAGGACTTATACAAATAAGATATACAAATAATTCTTAAAACTCAACAAGAAAACCATTCATTTATAAAAATAGGCAGAAGATCTGGATACCTCACCAAAGACGACACACAGATAGAAATAAGCATTAAAAAAATGCTCCACATCATTATGCCATTAAACCAAACCTAATCCAAACCACTTTCTGTTGATTCAGGTTCATGGCAACCCTGTTTCAGAGCAGACCTGAGCTCCCCAAGAGTTTTTCTAAGCTGTAATCTTTATGGAAGCAGACTACCAAGGCTTTCTTCCATACAACTGGATGAGCTCAAAATGCCAACCATTCAGGTAATAGTCAAGCGAAAACTGCTTGCACCAACCAAGGACCTTCATGTGTTATTAAGGAATTGGTAATCAATGGCTAAAATCCACAACACTGGCAATACCAAATGCTGAATAAGGATATGGAGCAAGAACTCTCATTGCTGATGGGAATGTCAAATGGAAAACCACCTTGCATTTCCTTTTTTAAAAAAATTTTTATTGGGATTTGGGTTAAAGTTTACAGAGCAAATTCATTTTTTCACACAGCAGTTCATACACATTTCATGACACTGACTGCAATCCCCACAATGTAACAGCTCTTCTCCCTTCCTCCCTGTAGTTTACCTCTTCTGTGTCCATCTTTCCTATGTATTCCTAACCTCCGAGCTATCTCCTGTACTCATACTGCTCTTCTGTTCTCCCGTAATTGCTCATTCTAAGGAGTCCAACTACCTGGTGTAAATGTTCACCCTATGTGCCTATCATATGGCTGAAAGCTATGGGACTGAGTTTAATTCCAGGCCTGAAGGGTAACTAGGGGCCACAGTCTTGGTGCGGGGTTCTCCAGGGCCTTTCAGACCAATAAACCTAGACTATTTTATGATTGTGAGTTTTGTTCTACATTGCTTTCCCACTCTATCCAGGATCTCCTGCACTGATTCTTTTCCGAGTGGTTGACAGTGGTAGCCAGGCACCATCTAGTTCTGGTCTCATGGTCATACAAGCTGAGGTTTGCATGGTCTACTAGTCCCCTGGACTAACTGTTTCCATTTGTCTTTGGTTTTCTTCATCCATCTTTGCTCTAGATGAGGAGAGACTAGTTGTTGCATCTAGATGGCTGCTTGCAAGCTTACAACTGTGGTACATTCACCAGTGGAGTACCATTCAGCAATAACCTGAAGATACCAAGTCACAAAAAGACATGAAGGAACTTTAAATAACTATTACAAACTGAAAGTAGGCAATCTGAAAAAGATACATGCTATATGAGTCCAAGTATATGGCATTTTAGAAAACATACAACTATAAATAGTGATCTACTTCTGTAGTGATACTGCCTCAGAAATCCAAGGAGGGGTCGGTATGAGTCAAAAAACTCAATGGCAGTGAGTATAAACAGTGAAAAGATCAATCATTGTCACAGGTTTGGCACAGAGGTAGGAGGTGCATAGGGCGTCTTTAGGCCAAACTATTCTGTATGATAGGAGCTCTGTTAGCATAGTGCCTAAGGCACTCGACTGCTAACCAGAAGGCTGGCAGTTCAAATTCACCAGCCACTCCTCGGAAGGAAGGTTGGGCAATCCTATTTCCGTAGTGATACTGCCTTGGAAACCCAAGGAGGGGTCG